CCATCTCTAGGTATTTAATTCCCTTAGAGGAGGCCCTGTGACATTGTATCTGTGTTTACAGGAATCCTGTGCCCTGGCAATACAGGACCTCTTTTTATCTGTATGGTTCTTTTGTCTGATCTTCTTATAAAGAAAGAGGTCTATAAAGACTTGAGACAACAACTTTCAACTATTTCCAAATCAATATACATTTTTCTATGCACTTTTCCTTTTAAATGTGAATAAGAAAGCATGTAAAAATGACTATAGATAGGCAAAGAATACTAGATACTGACTTATTAGAAAATCAACCCCAGATGGTTTACTCGGGTTTTCTAGAATGACTCAACAACTTCAGAAAATTAAAAATTTCAAAGTTATTGCAGATTATATGCTACTCAAAAACAGGAGAAACATATGGTCAGTACCCAAATGTTTACCGAATGAATGACTGTGATCCATAAATTCTGATGTTAATCCATGGGTGCACCTAAATGTACCATAACTGTGCAGTGGAAAGAGCATTAGGCAAAGTCTTGTTTAGGTCTTAGATCTACCCCTTCTTAGCATATTGATCTTAGGTAAATCACCTTACTCTTTCACTGGCCTTAATTTCGTCATCTGTAAAATGAGAGAATGGACTCATAGATGATCTGGTAGTCACATGACATTTCCTGCATTCTACGATTAAGTGTGTTTTCCTGTCGTCTCTAATCTTTCAAAGATAAACTTTGCATAACTAAGTTTAATACTGTTTTTTTTTATGCTAGGGAGAGTAGGAAAAAAAGTTTCCTGTGGGCTTTCTCTCCTTCAGTACTAGGGGAGTAATGAAAATAAGAATGAGTTTTAGGAAGGTCATCAGCTAATAAAACGTTTTTGCAGTGGTTTACAATGCTCCATGGTAATCTGCCTCTGGGTTAGTTCTCAGGTACACCAGATTCAAAAGACTTGTAATAAAGCATTTTTTGTTCTCTTTTTCATATTAAGCAGGTCTTTCATCCCTTAAATATGGCTCATTTTCTCTATTTCCATCCATCAACTAGAGTAACCTTGTGAAATATATGGCAAAAGTGTTTTTTTTTCTTTTAAAGGACATATATTCACATATGCTAATAAATTAACACCAGGTACCACAAGAATGAAATTGTTTCTAAAATGGGGGGGTGTCCTCTGGACACCTGGGTGGCTCAGTTGGTGAAGCGTCTGCCTTTGGCTCAGGTCATGACCCCAGACCTGAGGATCCTGGGTCCTGGGATGGAGTCCCACATCGGGCTCCTTGCTCATCAGGGAGTCTGCTTCTCTCTCTCTCTGCTCTGCCTGCCGCTCCCCCTGCTTGTGCTCTCTCTCTCTGACAAATAAATAAAATCTTTAAAAAAATAATAAATAAAATAAAATAAAATGGGGGGTTCCTCTTTGGAAAGTGTAGTGCATTAAATTCTTAGAGAGTAGGAACTACCTGTATGAGACTTACAGCACCTAGCATTTAAATCAGCATTGAATAAACGATGTTGGAAGGGCAAACTTTTAAATAAGTTATTGGTTATCATGGGAGAGAAAGTTCAGTAAAACATCAGATTCCAGCACACACAAACCACTTTTTTACTATGGTTTATTGCATATTGTCATCCTTTTGTTAAGGCAACACTGCCCAGCACTAAAGGAAACAAAACTTATATGGGTTATTGTTGCTATCTACTCTGATCTACTTCTACTGGGGCTGGAATGGACTTGGCCCATACCCAAGGATACTCTTATTCCTTTCCAATTTGTTAGGGGTGCTTAGATACTTCAGGGTTTTTTTTCCCCACATTTTCTTCCAGCTCTGTTATATTTACTGGATTCTCTAAAATTAAAGGCTCAACATTTCTTCCAGCTAGTTTTACTTTTTCTGTTAATTATAGCTTTCCCCACATCATCTTTATATTGGTTACCTTTGATAACATTTGTAACAGAAATGAAACAAAGAGCAGAAACAAGTTGCCAATAAAACTTCTGATCTCCTGCTTCACTGTACACCATGCACTGGCTTTGTTTTACTGTTTACATCTACCTCTCGAGCCATCTATATCTACAAGCCAAATATTTCCTCTAAATATTTCTGCAAAGTTAGTGCTGAGTAAAAATATATACATCCATTTTTCTCAGCACCCGTTTCTCCAACACACGTATGCAAAACTAGTGGGTAAAAAAGACAAGAATGGGACCACCTAAGCCACAAAATAATGGGGGGCTCATTTGCATCTAGAGAGACACCCCCACCTGCTCTCAGGAAGCGCCTTTTAAGGTGTGTGCGCCTGTGTGCCCTCCCCAAGCCATTTGGATGATGATGCGAGAGGGAAGATTTTGCATTGCAAAGACCGATTTTTTAAAAATGCTGTGCAGGTAGTTCCTAGCCAAGAGCGTGCTCGTGCCGGGGGAGGCGAAGGAGGAGAAAGGCGGCAGCACCCGCAGCCTGCTGGGGCCTGACCTGATTCCCTAGAATCCTCAGCTCCCTTCCTCTCTCCTCCGACGTCCTTCCTTCCCTTCTCTCCTCCTTCCCCCCCTTCCTTTCCCCAGCGAAGCAGCTGCGAGGAACAAAGAACGCGGGCGCTCCGGGAAGCAGCGCGCAAGCCCCGCGCACTGCGCGCGGCGTCTGGCTCTTCCGAGCGGGGCTCTCCCGGCTCCACGTCCCTCCGCAGCCTCCCCCGCCTCCCGCGCTCGCTAGCTCCCGCCCGCTCGCCGCCTCCCCCACCTTCGCGGCGCCGGAGGAAGGCGGCCGGGGCTCAAGATGGCTTTAGCCGGGCTCTGCGCCCTGCTTGCCTGCTGCTGGGGGCCGGCGGCGGTGCTGGCCACGGCCGCCGGCGACGTGGACCCATCCAAGGAGCTGGAGTGCAAGCTCAAGAGCATCACGGTGTCGGCGCTGCCCTTCCTGCGCGAGAACGACCTGAGCATCATGCACAGCCCCTCGGCCTCCGAGCCCAAGCTCCTCTTCTCGGTGCGCAACGACTTCCCGGGAGAAATGGTCGTGGTGGACGACCTGGAAAACACGGAGCTGCCCTACTTCGTGCTGGGTGAGTCCCGGGGGAGGTCGAGGCGGCCCGGCGCCCCCACCCCCCACCCCGGCTCGCTCCACACACCCACTCGCCGCCGACCTCCCTTCCCCCACTCCTGTCGCCCAGGATCCGCCCCACACCCAGCCCGCCCTCCACACCCACCTGCCGGCCAGCGCCTCGGTGCCCCCGACTTCTCCCCACATCCGACATGGATGCGGGGCCCTTGACCTCCCAGCCGCCCTGCCCCACAGGAGCAGGTTGCAGGAGGCTCTCTGAAACCTTTACTGGCCTTGACCTCTCCGCTTTCCTTCAGGAGCACATTGACAGAACACTTGTCTGAGACCGGCTCAACTCCCATAAGCCCTTCTCCCCACTCCCTGGCCACATGCCCCGTTCTTTGCTTCACACCCCCTGGACACCCACTCCCACAGCATTTCCTGGGGGAGTTGGAAACAGGTATCCCTCCCTCCCCGTGACAGGCATGTGCAGGCCACATTGCACCGGCTGGATCTCTAGCCCGCACTCTTGGAGCGGGCTCTGTATCTCTCACCAGGTGACTGGCACTTAGTCACAACACTCAAGTTTTCTCTCCTCTTGGTGTCCATCCCACCTTCACACTTGCATGCAACAATGTCCTCAACCAGCCACCTCAACATGCCCAGGTCACATCAAGATGCCTTGGATAAAGAAAGCATCCAACTGTAGTCTGTTCCTGTTGGTATCTTCTTTGTTCCCAACGCTACCTTAGGTAGGCAAAGGCGTTCCTGCACACAGAATGGTCTCCCTGGCTAAGAGGCTCCCCTTCCGTTCCTTTCGTTTGTTTACATTTCTCTCTCAGTACCCCTCTACTCATTTTCTTAGGCCACGAAACTCCTTCAGATCCTGGAACCTTCTAATCCACCTCTCTTTTCTCACTGCCAGGCTGCAAAGATACTGTGGTCCTGCTCCAGCCTCTTGCAAAGCAGGACAGGTTCATTCATGTGACTTCGTTAACCAAAATTTCCCTCACTTTTCCCTGTGCAGATGTCTCTCTCCCTGCTGTGCGCGCCCACCATGCAATCCATTTCTTTAGTGATGCTGTACATCATCCTTATTTTGCCCATGAGAGAATTCAGAGATAACCCAATTCATAGTTACTCTCTAGATCCAAAAACTGACAAACAATGAAACTGTCCAGGAGGCAAACGTTTCATCTACTTAATGTCCTACCAACTGGAGTTCACTTTGTAGGAGCATGGCTTCCTGATGGCCATACATAGGGTAGAGCCACATGTGGAATGTCCTGTAACACCTCCCTGGTGCTCTTTATTCACAAGAGATCTCTTCACATTGCAAACATTAAGAAGTGGGTGAGTAAACCCCTACTCTCCGATCCCTATGGAAAAGCGATTTCAAAAATTGCCTGGTCTTTTGAAAAGTTGGTTTGCAATTCCTGGAGTGCGGCTTAGTTGACTCTGTTAAGTCCAGCCTACACACTTGATGGCATTACTTATTTTTGCATTAAAAACATACCAATAACATAATAAAACTGGGGGCTGGCTGGGAATGGGGACACTGTGGATATGTGGCTCATTAAAATGTACAATTGCTGGGTTATTCAGTGGATGCAAATTTTGCATGGACGTCATGCTGATGTGCAAGTACAATCTGTTCATCATAATATACAAGAAGGAGTATAGGGAATTACATGTTTCTGTAGAGCCTGTTTGGGGCTCTACACGTGTTTACTGTGCATGAGGAAGGCTGTGTGTGGTGCATGAGAAAAAGGGAAATGAGACTAGCGGGTCTTCAAAATCCCACTTCCTTTTTTGCAGCATCCCAAAGCTGGGGCCTGAAGCCATGATGTGCCTGCTAGGATCCAATGTGCACAGCAAAAGACCAGATGTTAAAGAATGGGGTTTCTGCACCTCTGTGCAAAGCTGCCCACTGCAGCACCCTGCTGGAGTTGCTATGGTAACCTCCTGCAACTTGGCATTTACATACAGGAACAGACACACTCTCACTTCAGGGCCAGATGCGTTTCCTAAATGCATTGATTGTGTCCTTGCCACCTCCCCCCTCAATGGGGGCATGTTCAGACCCAGTATTCCCAGGGGGAATAGGGGTCACTATCAGCTTGGGTGGGGAAGCAGAAGTAGGCAGAAAGGGACAGTCCAAGTTCATGGAGGGTAGACTCAAATGTATATATAGTTGCTCTCCAAGTTAAGTTTTGTGATCGTGGATTCTGTCACACGTGGCCAGTAGTAAGGGCTGTAGTGACTTAGGTTTAGAACTTTCCCTACTCTTATCTCTGGAACTTAGTTTGCTGAAGCCATCCCCAGGAGGAATATGAATCCACCAGTCGTGGGAAGTTATTGACCATTTACTTGCTCAGCACTCATAGGTACTCTTAGGTTAGAGAAGTTAGAAAAATTAAAGGCCCCTGCCCTCGGGTTCTCTCTAGTCAGTGGAAACACAGACTGAAATATTTGGAGGAGTTGTAAGTAATAATGCTTGAGTGTGTGATATGGATGGTAAGGGGTGTAGGAATGCTGAGGAAGGAAGGAACAACTTGCATAGCAAGAGTAGACTCCATAGATGACATGGGCTTGACTAGGGCCCTTGACCCAAATCAGGTCCTTTGGTTTCCTTTTGTCTCCAGGATCAAGTGCCCTAACTTTAGTGAGGCAAACAGGGGTTTTATCCTTCTGACTACAGCCAACTTCTCCAGCCTCATATCCCTGCAAGCCTGCTGTAGCCTTTCAGGATTCTTTCAAGACATTGCACATGCTGTTCCCTCCACCTAGAATGCTCTTTTCCCCTTCTCACTTGGCAGCCATCTATTCTTCCTCCTAAACCCTGCACACCTATCTCGTCTCTATGAAGCCTTCCCTCTCCTCCCAAGGCAGAGAAGTTTATCCCACTCCTGTGCTCTTTGTGTGAATTTAAAAAAATCAAAACACAAATGAATGGAATTAAAGATGGATTCGCTTTGGTGTGGCCTAGGTAAGGTGAAGCCGTTTGAAGTCACGGAACAAAGATAAGCAATCGGTGGTGGTGAGAGTGAGTATGTGATGGCGTGCCGTGCATATGGAGCAGTACCGAGATCGGCCTCGTGGTAGAAGAGTGGTCAGGATGGTGCCTGGCTCTGTAGAGTGGAGCATGGTTCTCCACTTAGAAGCCAGGCAATGGAGGGCTGACTTGACATAGAAAGCCATGAAGCCTGACTCCCAGACCTCAGCCATCAGTCCTGGCAGGTTTGCTTGTAGGATAATCCTGCAGGGTGGTGGAGGGAGTGGTGGTATCTTCTGTCCTCTTAAGTGAGTTTGCAAATTGTGTGTAAGGGCCATATGAGACTTTCAGTTGTGCTTTGTTTGGCTACATGTAGTTTTAAAATGTTTTGAATTTGAGTGTTTTCAGTCAAGGCCTGTCATCTTGAGATTGTCATACTTCCCTTTTCTTTATGGTATTTCTCTGACAACTCTAAGCTGGATAATCTAAACCTGCTTTCAGAAGTGTTGCAAAACACTACAATATCCCAAAGTAATGGCAATGTCTAATTTAAGATATTTAAATTCGTAGATCTGGGGACCAAAAAGAAGAGGCTATAAAAGCAACCACAGGTGTTTTTTTGGGGGGCGGCGGGGGGGTCTTAGGGATTGCAATCCAGGAGGCACAGGGTCCATGGAAAAAGAAAATCATCTCAAATTGCAAGCAGAGGGTACAGGTTTATAAAAGCAAAACCTACAAGGTTAGAGAACTTATTCTGAAAGAATTACGATTGGTGCTGACAGAGTTAAACTGGAGACTACAGGATTGGCTATTTAGCTAACAGGTGTTACATTGGATTTCAGTCCAAAGTAGAAGGATATGTTCCAGGAGGTGGTGGAGTTGCAATTGACAAGTAGCAATTGATGAGATCAAAAGTTCATGGCTGTTCTGGAGAATTGAAACAGAAGTGCATAGGCCCTGCTTCCTCAATGTCCTCCCCACCCTATTTTGAACAGACTCTCTTAGCAGTGTTTCACTTTGGAATTTTCCTTTATTAAAAGGCTTTATTCCCCTCTCAGGAGAATATAAAAGGTTTCCTAATTTGCCAATGAAAATTTCATATCTCAACTAAAACTTTGTATCTCAGCTTTCAAAATAGTAGACATTCTTGCTTTAGAGGCGTATTTGATTTTGAGACAATTGGTTAACCTGAAATGTAGCTTCTGCATTGAAGTGTGGTTTCCTGGGCTGTGAACAGAACAGATTTATCAGATTCACTACTATTTGAAAGGGATGCTCCTCTGTTTCAGACCCAACTCTGGAGCTTGTGCATGTGTAAAACTCAGTGAAGGAAGCTGTTTCTCTTGAGCCGGGGTGTTTAGTTTTAGCTGTCGTGGCTTTTGATTGAAGAAGGTGCTCCTGAAGATAAATCAATCAGCCTGCAGAGATGTAGTGAGTTCCCACATGCAAGGTGGTGTTTAAACCTTCTGGAGCAGTCCAGTGTGGTGGTTAAAAGAAAAGGCTTTGAAGACCGATCTAGGGTCAACTCCTTCCTGGCTTTCCACTTATTCCAGCAGTGGAAAAAAGTAGGATCAGAGAGGTGAAATAATTTACTCAGGATCCCATAGCTAATAATTGATGGATCTGTCGCTCGAACTCAGGTCAATGTAACATTTAAACCTTTCTCTTCATTACTATTTTATGCCTTAAAATTGTTGAAAATCCATTCTTTTTCATGGTTGGATGAAAGAAGCCCTGGCAATGGTTAGCATAGCGAAAGTACACTAACCTAGTTTGTACAGAAGAATCCTTTATGATTTCTATGTAAATGCCTTTTGGATATCCTTGCCCATTGAGTGATTTCTCCCACAAGGCTTTAATGCAGAAGAGAGTGAACTTCATCACGAAATATTTGCCTGAGTAGGTGTTCTTACCTAAGCAGAATTGGGGAATTCTTATTTATAGTGTCCAGATGTGGATAGCCATGTTCCTTGGTGTGTTATGGCACCCACAGTCATGGTGAACAATGTGGGATACATGTCCAGGGC